ATGAAAATATATTGAATGGAAATCAGGTAGATTTTACATAAACATTACAAGGAATCTTTATCCATCAATCGCACACAGTAAATAAAATACCCGTTATACTTTTAAAAAACATAACGGGAGTTTTCCTCGCACATAACGGGTAATTGCCGTTATGTTTAATACTAAAAATGTATGAAAATAACATAACGGTTTTAGCGTTATGTTTAGTCATAGCAAAATTGCTTTAAACATAACGGTTACATAACGCTAATTTACCGTTATGTGCGAGGAAAACTCCCGTTATATAACGGGTAATTACCCGTTATGTTACCGTTATGCTGAAAACTTAACATAACGGGTAATTACCCGTTATGTTACCGTTATGTAAAATGAAAATTATCTTTTTAAAGAAACGCATAATTCTGCATGACTATTCGCACAAAGTACTTAACAAAAAAACATTTTTTTGTCAATAAAAGTTGTAATAAGAAAATAAAAATTATACAGTTTCATATCATAATATATTTATATTATACTATTTATAATAATCATGAAAATTATTTACAAAATATTTGAATAAATTATTTACAAAATAATTGAATAAATTATTTACAAAATATTTGAATAAATTATTTACAAAATAATTGAATAAAATAACTTATTAAAATTTATAAATTCAAAAGTAATTTGCATTGCTTTGAAAAGTTTGCAGAAGAAAAATGCATTTTTTTAGATAATAAAGCCAATTGCAAAAAGTCTCAAATATCTTGCTAACATCCCAGAAGCCGCCCAAAACAAGAATATGTCAAATTTTGCAAATAGTAAACAACCATCAAAACAACCACTATATGTACTGATCAAGGGTTGAACATCCATTTCGACACATCTTCAACTCCTTACATCATATTCTGTTTTATTAAAGATAACTTGTGGGCCATATAAACTTTGGCATAAGTATTATACTCTATATTCACAATTTAATTAGTTTAATAATACTACACTAATTTATATTATATTACTAGAAAAAATTTATTATAAAAATATCATATAATATATTACAATAATCATACTATTATAGTATAAAGTTTATATATCATAAGCATATAATAGGGTCATTCCATATAAGATGAGCCAAGTCCTCTCGGGTGACAATGTTTTATTTTCTTAAAATATATACCTCCTGTAGGTTTTATGGACCAAAAATATTTTTTCAGAATTTCAACTTAATAACAAATAATTTTTTCTTTCAAATATTAAAGACTTAGTCTATCTCAGGGAACTTATTGGTCAATTTACGGACTGAAAATTGGCACAATATACAGTGAATTAAAAATTTGAAATTTTTAGGTATGCATCTTCAATACAAGAAGTATAAATGCAGCATAAACAAATTTGGTGTTTTTTGTGGTGCTGAGATATTTGAACAAAATAGCATTATAAAACTCAAAATTCACTATTTTGAATTTGTTTTATAGCCAATATCTCTAAGAGGGATCAATTTCCATTTTTCCGATTTCCAAATAATTCCTCAAACTAACCTTGAACATTTTTATGATAATAAAAGTTTAATTAAAAAAAAAAATAATTCATGCAGTTTAATACCTTAATATATTTATACTAAATCAATTTTCATAACCAAGAAAATAATTCAACAAACTAACTTTGATAAAAATTAACATTAATAAAGTCAAAAGTACTTTGCATTGCTATGAAAAGACTGCAGAATTAAAATGAATTTTTTAGATAATAAACCTGATTGCCCAATCTTGGAAACATCCCAGAAGCTGCCCAAAACAAGGATACGTTAAATCTAACAAATAAACAGCCATCAAAATGACATTATATATATTATAATTATATATATACATACATATATATATATATATATATATATATATATATATATATATATATATATATATATATATATATATATATATATATATATTGTTCTTTTTATCCATATTAATTCAAATCCATATTGTCAAATGCTTTTCTTTTACAAAAGCATTTGACAACTGTGACAAAAGTGCTAAATATTTTACAAGAAAAAACATAAAATAAAAAGTTATATTATTTGATTGTCAAAATTGTATTTTAAAACCCTTTGTTTTATCAAATTTGTTTTTTACCAAATGTGAAAAATTTGTGGAAAACTTTATTTTATTATTGATTTTTTTTTAAAAAAAAATTAATAATAAAAATAAAAGTAAAAGTACAAAATTCAATTTTCTTTATACTTTTATGATTACAAAAACACTCGCTTCTGTGTGACACGAGTAAAAACGTGGACTTGTGTTTTAGCCTTTTCTAGGGAGCAAGGTAGATTTAAAAAGATAGAATAAATAAACAAACTGCAAAAATATATGTGTATTTATTCAAATTGTTAAGTATAATATGTTTTAAATTCACGTTTTTGAGCTTTTGAATTTAACGTAAAAGTTTATTAAGAATATAAATATCTGCTAAATCAAAAAGTGAACTTTTTAATTTAGCAGATTTTTACAAAGTTTAACTCAGTAAGCACAGACCGTTTTTAAAACGTTTAAAAAAAGTTAAAAACCGTTTTCATAGGTTTTTTAAACGTTTTAAAAACGTTCTGTGCTTACTGGGAAAGATGTAATTTATAATTTTCAACTTTCCATTTGAAACTAAAAATGATTTTATTTCTCGTAAGAATGTTTGTGACATCTATAAACTTTAGTTGCCTAATAAAGAAGGCATTTTTGTTTCAAAATTCAAGAACTATATAATTAATGACAAAAGATTATCGCAAACCACAAGCTTTTAATATAAATAAAATGGAAAAATGCCAGTTAGTAATGTCAAATCATTTTTAAAGAAATATAAATATATCATGAAATACCATAAAGTCAACATGCAAGAAAATAAAAACAAATCAAAGAAAATAAACTAGTTAACAAATTTGATATTTTTTGTTTGATCTTTAATTAATGACTAAAAACTGTTAATTTTTTTCTCAAGATATTTATATTATTTAAGTAAAACATTTTTTAAAATGTTTTATTTAACTTTAAATTTATTTATATTGCCATTTAGTTTTATAAATAAAATTTTGTTCATAATTCAATACATTAAAAATGACGCATCAGATTTTGACTGATGAACCAGCTCGTTGCAATTTTTCAACTTCACTTATATTTGCTTTGAATTTAGCTAACATAACCAATAATGTAAATTTATTATTCGGCGTGGTACATTACGCGTTTAAAACCACTGTAATGATTGACCATTGTTACTGATTACATAATTATTACCATGTTTTCTCATCGTTTTATTCACCTGTTGCAAGCATTGAGCGTGTCTTGTTACACGCCTTGAATATTGAACTTTGCTTCCTGAATGCAATAATGCGAATATAACTAAACTATAAAAAAAATTTAAATGGAACATTTGCTAAACAATTTCAAGGCTTTTATTTCAATTATTCATAAATTATATTTATATAAAACTATATAAAAATAATATGTAATAAATACTAACTTTTTTATTAATAACATTTTTTTTTTAATGTTAGGGAAGAGTGGGGTAATGGCGAAGGCGGGGTAACTCCGAACATGGTAAAAGCAGCATTAAAGAAAAATAAATTTGACAATTTCTTTTTACCTGTAGAGAGGGGATCCCATGCACAGTTCCGGACGTGCAGTAGTGTAATGAAGCTGCAGTTGCTGTTTACTATAAGTTGATTTTAACTTTTTCCAATAATTTTATGCAAATTTTTCTTGAGTAACATTCTGTTGCAGCTTCTATTGATATAAAACCACTCCTATTTTTTGTTGTTGTTACATAGTATAGTTTTATACTAAGTTTTTACGATTAGCGTTTTATTCGTTATTACACAACAGTGTTTGTGATTGCTGCCCGGTGTGTTTGGAATTACCCCATGTTCGTAGGGTTATTCCGAATAGGGTAATTATCCCATGTACGTAGGGTAATTCCGAACACCAATGGTTTTATAGTAAGGTTTATAAAAAGTTGCTTTTGAGGGTTTGTGACTAAATAGTTAAACTAATTGGTAAGCAATAAATGTGATCAGTTTCGTATAACTGGTGTCTTTAATTAACATTCCCGCTTAGGTATTCGCTAATACCCCACTCTTCCCTACTTAAAAAATATTTTTTAGATAAATATATTAATAATCAAATAAATAATTTAATATTATATTTAACAATTTATTATGTTATTATAGTCTCTTAATATTCCTAATAACAGGAACATTTAAGTTTTAATTAAAAAACGTAAATTACAAATTGTTTGAAATGTTGCGTCCCCTCTATGTTTATAAAGTTTGATTTTCAATATGCGTTAAAATCTCGTAACCCTTGAAGGCACTGTTCTTAACAGATTTTTAGTTTTTATTTAGTAGTCAGAATATGGAAAACGGTTTTGAAAAACTCGGAGAAAAGTGAGTTTTGTTGTTACAAAATACATCTTTTAATCATTTTTAAAACAATTTTTATTAAGATGTTTTTGGAATAAGTATTTTTAATAAAGTGTAGCTTTTTTATACTAACGTATTTATAAATATTGGTAAATATTTTTTTACATTGCAAGTATTATTTTTTTTCATCCATTTGGATTTTCTGAACATCTTTATTAAACCTAAGAAAGCCTTTTTTAATTATTTTTTTTTACTTTTTTTTTTATTTATTTCACTTTTTATTTACTGTACAATAAGGTATTTCACCTAAATTTGGTTTTTCCTCTATTTTATTCGCTTCTATTTTAAGAGAACTTGTTCTATAGTTTATAATGCGTATTTCATATTTAAAACAAATATATTTTTTTCTTATCACCAATGGTTTCTTCAAATCTTTTCGTATAATGTACACAAATAAAAATTCTTATTAAGAAATGTTGTTATAATACATACAAACGTTAATTTAGCATTTTTTTTTTTTTTTTTTTTTTTTGTATTTAATGTAGGATTTTGTTCTCGAAAAAAAATATCAGCGTTGAATCAAAGGCTATCCAAACGTTGTGAAAACATAAGTCCCAAGATTCCTAGTTCTTTTTATTCAAGTTAAATAGTTATGATGTTTGATTTTTAAAATTATAACGTAGCAGTAACGTAGCAAATAAAAATAATTTTGATTAAAAGCTTTATAAAAATCTTTAAGTGATTTTTTTTTTCAATTTTCTCAACTGTTATTGTCAAAACATTGAAGACTATCAAGAAGGCTGTCGATAGCTTGAAGATCTTTTATTTTTTCCTTCTCACTTTGTTCTTTTTTTTCTATTTCACTTAAAGCTCTAACAAGCTGTTGCTTTTCTTGTTCTTTGATTATTACATCTGATTCAAAAAACGATTTATTTTGCGGTTTCATAGTTTGAAAAGCTGGCACAGCCTTTATTACTGAGTTGAATGCCGGTGCCGGGTTGACTACAGCTGAATCTTTATTTTTATTAACCATATCTTGTTTTATTTTCTCTTCAATTAAATCTATAATGTGACAAACTCTTTCTTTTTTGGCTATATCAAGTGCAGTTTTTGATTCAATGTTTTTTATATTAATATCTATTCCAGTGTCATTAGTTAGGAGGAGATTTACAATATTAAACTGTGACTTCATTACAGCAACATGAAGGACAGTGTTACCTTTTTTATCTTGTTTATTAATGTTAATATCTCGCGTCAGCAAAAATCTCATAACATCAACATGTCCGTAAAACGCGGCAATGTGCATCGGAGCTTCCCAATCATCGTTTGATGCATGCAGATTTGCTCCATACTTTACCAGTAGACTCACAATATCTGTATAACCTTCTTTCGCAGCCAATGATAATGGTATTGTTGAGTACTTTAATTGATTGTTACTATCAAATTCATCAAGAACGGAATTCGGTTTAAAACCCTTTTTCAACAATTTTTCTAATTTTTTGACATCGTTTTTACGAATAGCCTTTAAGACGTCCATCTCTACAACAAAATTTAGTTTTACACTTAAAATTATTATGACAACTGATCGAAATTTCAATATTAAACTACAACAAAGTTGGTGATATATGTTGATTAATATACTAAACAATATAAAACAATTAACATTTTGTTGCTGATAAATTCCCTTCCTGATTAGCTATTTTTAAAAGTTCTTAATTACAGGATATAGTCAGCAACAATTGCTATTTTTCAGAGTTAATTGTTTTGAGTAAACAATGTTAATTGTTTTGAGTAAACAATTAACTTTTTTTTTTGTAATTGATAAGAAAATTATTGACTTTTGTTTAATAATTATATACAGGTATCTAACTTTTTGAGAGGGTCACTGAACCTTCAAAAATTTCCAAACCTGTTTTTTTTTTTTTTCAATATATACTAAATATATTAAAAACTATATATATATATATATATATATATATATATATATATATATATATATATATATATATATATATATATATATATATATATATATATATATATATATATATATATATATATATATATATATATATATATATATATATATATATATATATACTAAATATATTAAAAACTATATATATATATATGTATATATATATATATATATATATATATATATATATATATATATATACTAAATATATTAAAAACTATATATATATATATATATATATATATATATATATATATATATATATATATATATATATATATATATATATATATATATATATAGGGGCTTGTGATATTTCGAAAATTTTAACTCCTCCGTCCAAGTCAATGGATGAATTGCTAGAACTACGGCCATTGAAAAATTAACTTTAATTAAAAAGGAAATAAATTTTTAATTTAATGAAAATAAATTTTTAATTTATTGAAAATAAATTAAAAGTTTATTAATAAGTAAAATGAAATAGAATATTTAACAAATGTATAATTTATCATAAATTGATCAAGAAATAAGTATAAATTAAAGGAAATATTGATCTGTCGGCGAAAGTTATCATATTGTTATAAAGTTATTAAAATTAAATTCAAACTTCTTGTTTATTGAAATCAACAAGAAGTTTAAATGACTACATAATAATTATTATTACGTAGTTCATTGTTGAAATTAACAATTTTAACATTTTTGTGTCGAAGAACAGACAGGGGCGGACTGGCCAAATTATTATGATGTGGAAAAATATTTTTAACGGCCCTGTAGGCCAACGAAAAATGAGGAAAAGCAGCAAAGATAACAGACGTAAATTACAAAGTTATGCTTAATTTATAAATATATACATTAATGAATAAATATCGAACAGAAAAAATTTATTAGAATACATATACGTAAAAACAAAGTACTTAACAACGGCCCATGTGGAATAGTCCACATCTTCCACATGGCCAGTCCGCCCCTGAGAACAGATATTATAAAATTTAAACCTTTTTGAAAAGAACATTTATGAAAAGCTCCATAAATGCTATTATAAAAGGCTTTAAAAAGTTAAATGATTAGTAAACAACTTTTTATTATAGTGTCTTGAGTTGAAACGATATAAAAAAACTTATTTGTTTTATTTTGAAATTTTTTTCAAAATAAAACAAAATAAAGCATTTATGTTTAACAGACTTCGAAAACAAACAATTCTATGTACCTGGTTGCTATTAAGTGTAGAATTATTTTTTATGTCAGTCATTTATACTTAATAGCAACCAGGTTCGTAAACTATTTGTCTCAGAAGACTACTAAGAAAATAGAAGACATTAAAAAGGGTTTAAAATTAAAATCTCCCGTTCATACTAACGGTAAAACACGTTTTATTTTAAACGCATTTTATGTTTTTGATGTTATAAACTATATAAAACACAATCAAACAACATGGCGAGGTTATTTTATATTAGCACAAACTTTTTATATTGACAAAACAACTTCGCATTATTGTTTTATTGTCATTTTATACAGCTTTTTACAATAACAATTTAATATGCATTTAAAGCAAAACGTGTTTTATTGTCAGAATGAACGAAGTATTAGGTGCGATATGTAATTTATATGTAGCGCCAATTGATTCATAAATCACATTTGACTAATATTAGAAAACAAACGTAGTCAAGCGTCCACACATTGCCTGAAAAATTTAATGTTTGTTAAAACACAGATTTATAATAACAGCTATGATATAGTATAGCAAAATATATATATATATATATATATATATATATATATATATATATATATATATATATATATATATATATATATATATATATATATATATATATATCTATATATATATATATCTATATATATATATATATCTATATATATATATATATCTATATATATATATATATATATATATATATATATATATATATATATATATATATATATATATATATATATATATATATATATATATATATATATATATATATTATATATATATATATATATATATATATATATATATATATATATATATATATATATATATAGTATAGGGTTGTTAACCGGAGGATTTCGTGCAATTCCGGAAAAGCAACATTCTTTCGTAAGGAGATTGAGAACACGGAATTACATTTTTTCGTACCAAATGTTGAAATCGCCGATGTTCATTTCGCAAAAGCCACTTCCGAAATTTAGCATTTCGCAAGTTGACATACGAAACAAAACTATTTTGCAACATACGAAAGTAGCGGTTTCGGAAGTCGCACTTGCGAAACAAACATTTTCGCCAAACGACGTTTTGAAGTCTATAAAGAAAATTTGTTTTGCCAGACTGATTTTAATTGTAAAAATTAACATCTTTAAATCCCAAAATGTTTATAATGAATTTTTATTTTCAGTATAATAACTATTAAATTTTTATGGTTTTGTTTTTAGAAATATTGATAAAAAATAAAATTTCTTTCGAAACGAAAGTATTTCGGATCACAACATACAAAAGAATTCTTAACGGAAATAAACTTACGAAACGTGCCATAATAAATATACACAACGATGTTTTTTGAACTCATTACGTATATTAAAAATAAGAATGATGGGTAGGAATATACATGTTTTTTTTTAAAGTATATGAAATTTTTGAAACAGGTTCGAATATGCTTAAGCAAATAGTAAAAAGAGGCTCAAAAATATGCTTTAGCTTAAGCATATTTCTGATAAAATATACCTATTTCAATAATTTCTAAAAGTGTGCACGTTACTAAAGTTCTAGCAGATTTTAAAGGTATGTAGAGTCCTGTTTGAATACGCTTTTCGAAGTATAGATCATAGAAAATATTGTTTTTAAATTTTAATAAGATATAAATTTGAGTATAAGATTGTATAGTTCAATCAGTTAGATACGTGATAATTCGCCGCAGAGATCCGGGTTCGCATCCCGCAGCCATTGTAACTTTTGTTCATCAAACTCTTTTTACTTAAGATAGCATTTTTTGACCTCTATGTTCTATATTACAGATCTTTCGTCACCTTCACAATAGTGACAACCTCTCTTCTTTTAGTTATTCTTTTAAGATTGAGTTCATTGTGCTTAATTCAACACGTTTCCCTTGCTTTACTAAGTTCTACTTAAATTATGATGAAATGTACGTAAAACAACTTTTTCAAATAATATAAATCATTTTGCTTTAAATCTTTTGCTTTTTGTACTAAATATGTACTAAAGACATCTGTTCTAAATACTTTGTAATAATTTCTAGCTAACTCTGAGTTTAATATAACCATTTCTGAATATAATTTCCCTGAGGCTCCTACAGCCTATTGTGTTCCATTAAAAGTAACTAGTTTTTGAGTCCAGACATTAATTATAAGCATCTAAAGGTTCACATTGCTATTCATTTTCCTGATATATAGAATCCTATTTGCATATGTATCTCTTTCTGTAAATTCTGTTTTATATAGTTTCTTAATTATATATTAAATAAATATTACTATTCACTTAGTTAAATGAACGTATAGCTCATTCAGTTAAGACATTTGGCCGCGGAGACCCAGGTTCACATCCCGCTGTTTCACATATATTTCTTCTCTTTTTACTCTTTCTGATATCATTTACCTTTAGAGAGATATCTCGTTCTTTATAATAAAGTATTTAATTGTTTATCACACATCCCCTTTATACTTTTTAAAAAGAAAGGCATACTGTTTATCTGTTCATTGAGAGTCCAACTTAACGGGATTTTACTGTATATATATGTATATATTTATATATATATATATATATATATATATATATATATATATATATATATATATATATATATATATATATATATATAATACATATATATATACAGTAAAATCCCGTTAATGTATATATATATATATATATATATATATATATATATATATATATACATTAACGGGATTTTACTGTATATATATCATATATATACAGTAAAATTTATAATAAATGTATATATTACATTTATACAGTAACATTTATAATAAATGTATATATTTATATATATATTTATATATATATATATATATATATATATATATATATATATATATATATATATATACATATATATATACAGTAAAATCCCGTTAATGTATATATATATATATATATATATATATATATATATATATATATATATATATATATATATATATATATATATATATACATTAACGGGATTTTACTGTATATATATCATATATATACAGTAAAATTTATAATAAATGTATATATTACATTTATACAGTAACATTTATAATAAATGTATATATTTATATATATATATTTATATATATATATATATATATATATATATATATATATATATATATATATATATATATATATATACAGGGCCGCCAAGAGGGAAGGGGGGCAATTGAAGTAGTTTGCCCCGGGCATCACAGTCTATGGGGCATCACATGCCTTAAAAAAAAAATTATTGAAATGATAAAAAACTTAGCTGATAACGTATTTAAAGATTAAGCAATTTTTGTGTATTAATTTCTTTCTCCTTTTAAACATTGTTTGCATTTAAAATAGGATAATTATTACTTTACAAGGTTTTCATTATCCATTTGAACGCACGCGTTTTCATTGGCCTTTCGTTCGCATGATAGAATAAAAAGCGTTAAATTTTTTTTTTTCTTATTTAACGTTTGTAAAAGCCTGACTTCTGATAGTTTAACTTATTTTTCTTAAACCTTGCGTCCCTGTAGATACTTTTGTGCATATGTATGTTTTTGACTCGCCTGCATTTTGTTTCGACAACATTTTGACAAAATACTTATCTTCAGTCGATATTTTAATTGTAAGTACTGACTTTTTCTCTGCAATTAATAACACCAAAGTATTATAAAGTTTTTAATTTTTAAAATTTAAAAAGTTAAAATTCTTTATATCGTCATAAGTTTTAGCATGAATAATCAAAAACCTCCACTATTGAAACAGCTGTCTGGAGCTGCTGGGAGAAAAAGAGCGATGATTCGGAAAAAAAACGAAAGTAAAAACAAACGAACGCTTTTAGATTGCGTTTGTTGGAAAAAAGATAAATGCAAGCATTAGTTAAACTATTTTTTAATCTTGTGACGTTCATGAAAAAATAATTAGAATAATTCTGTTTAATACTTCTTTATAGTTCAATGATATTGAGATCGGTATCAATGGCTCTAATGAGTTGCCAGACCATAATTCCGACAAATTTTTTCTTGTCGATGACATCGATGATTCCCAAAAAACATCATCACATTTAAAAAAGGATCAGTTGGATTTTGTACTTGATTGTCACAATGACCAACAAGTTTATAAAAGTGATCTTTCTATACCAATCTCTAACGATCCTGCACTATGGAAATCAATATCAGACACTGATCGAACGAATATAATTTTGATGGGACCTTCTTCAAATCCTAGCAATTTTCCAAGAGATCAAAAAGAACGCAAATTCCCTACTTATATCTTTTTAGAGGAACAAAGAAACGGAGAAAAAGTTAAAAGAGATTGGCTCGTTTGGAGTAAGGCTGTGGCATCACTCTTTTGTTTCCCTTGCTCCCTTTTTGGATCGCCTAACTTAACCAGACCCGGTGTTCAATCCAGTTTGTTGTCTTGGAATACATACATGGAATTTGGAGAAAACTTTCAGATCGCGTTAAAAGTCATCAACAAAGCGATTTTCACCGTAACTGTTATCTCCAATGGAAAACAGCTACGATTCACTTGAAAAGTCAAAAGTCCATTGAGCATCAGTTAGAAAAACAAATTGGACATGAAACAAAGCGATGGAAAGTAATTTTACAATGCATTCTTGACGTCTTTTTTTTTTTAGCCTCAAGAAACTTAGCTTTTAGGGGTAAGAATATTGTTTTTAAATTTTAAATTATATTTTGCATTATTTTATTTGTAATTTAAAAATCAAAATTACAAGTTTTAATTGGATATAAATATGGATTACTATTTTGATTATTTTTTGTTTGTAATTAGGATCCAATCAAAAGTTGTTCAAAAATGGGAATGGAAACTTCCTTGGAGCGCTCGAATTAATTGCACGCCACAACAAAACATTACAAGATCATATGCATCTTATTGCTAAGCATCAAGAAAAAGAAAAACGCATGCAAGCTCATTATTTATCTTGGAAATCACAAAATGAATTTATCAAGGAATGTGGCAAATTAGTGGTTCGAGAAGTTATTCGAGAAATCAAAAAATCAATATATTTCACCATCATCACGGACAGCACTCCCGATTCGTCCCACAGCGAGCAAATAACTTTTGTTTTTCGTTTTTTGCATTTCAATGATAATCAGCTGTGGGAGGTCAAAGAAAGATTCCTTAAGCTAGAAGAACTTGAAAAGAAGAAGGAATCTGATATAACAAAGTTGATATTGAATGTGTTGGAAGAGAATGAGCTCAACATAAAAAATTGTCGTGGTCAAGGCTAAGACAACGGCGCTAATATGGCAGGTATTTACAATGGAGTTCAAGCTTTAAGACAGAATAATCCACAAGCAATTTTCATTCCTTGCTCTGCTCACAGTTTGAACTTATGTGCAGTACACGCTATTGAATCATCGGCTCCTGAAAAATCCTATTTTGGAAATATTCAAAAGCTATACAATCTGTTCAGCAGCAGCCTAGTTCGTTGGAAAATTCTTCAGGAGGAGACAGGCCAATCATTACATAAACTTTCTGTTACACGATGGAGTTCAACGATTGAATCAGTTAAGCCACTAGCAAAAAAGCCAATAGAGATCTTGAAATCATTATATCGTCTAAAAGAGTTAGACCTTCCAGGCGAAAGTAGTAATGAAGTGCATTATCTCATTAAATGGATGAATTCTTTTAAATTTGTTGTTTTCACTACTTTTTGGTTTAAATGTTTGGTGGCAGTTAACAGCGTGAGTCTTCAGCTTCAATCCACTCAACTCACTCTCGATGATGAAGCAAAGATTCTAAATGGCCTTTTGATGGATCTGGATAGAATCCGTTTGTCTTGGGACCTGATTTTGATAGAGGCAACAGAAGTTGCAAAGAACTTGAAATTTGATAAAATAATGTTTACTGTGAAGAGAACGCGAAAAAAGATCATCTCAGATGAAACTGCTGGTTACCACCACGAAGAAGCATCAAAAAACTTTGAGTGTAATGTCTTTAATGTTGCACTCGACAATCTGACTAGTCAAATGAGATCAAGATTTAAAGTAATAGAAGAGGAATGTAGCAAGTTTACCTTCCTTTGGTCTTTACAGAAATCTCAAACAGACCAAGAACTAGGCTTAAAAGCTGAGAATCTGGCGTAACTTTACCCAGAAGACTTATGTAAAAACGAATTTTCTGATGAAGTTTGGCATTTTTTTTCCGTAAGAAGAAATATTCTAGCCAGCGAAAAGCCTGTCGAACTTCTAAATGAAGTTTATGCAAAGGGGCTGCATTCAATATTTCCGCAAGTGTGTGTTTCTCTTAGAATCTTTCTAACATTGCCCGTTTCAACATCTGAAGGAGAAAGATCTTTCAGCAAGTTAGCTATCATCAAAGATTATCTTCGTTCCACAATGTGCCAGGAGCAATTGTGCTACTTAATGATCCTTTCAATCGAATCAGATTTAGCCATTAACGTTAATTATGAAGAAGTTATTTCAAATTTTGCTGCTAAGAAGGCCCGGAAGATGTGTTTGTCAATAAAGAATTGATTTTATCATAGTTTGTTCTTGCAAACCAAAATTAAATGTGATTTTAGGTTTTTCATGAAAGTAAACTATATTAATTTATTTGCTATTTTAAGACCTGAAGTATGATAGGGCATCCATTAAACTTTTGGACCCGGGCATCACAAAAGCTCTGGGCGGGCCTGTATATATATATATATATATATATATATATATATATATATATATATATATATATATATATACATTAACGAGATTTTACTATATATATATATTTATATATATAGATATATGTATATATATATATATATATATATATATATATATATATATATATATATATACATTAACGGGATTTTACTATATATATATATTTATATATATAGATATATGTATATATATATACATATATATATATATATATATATATATATATATATATATATATATTTATTTATATATATATTCATATATATATATATATATATATATATATATATATATATATATATATATATATATATATATATATATATATATACATTAATGGGATTTTACTATATATATATATATATATATATATATATATTTATATATATAGATATATGTATATATATATATATATATATATATATATATATATATATATATATATATATATATATATATATATATATATATTTATATATATATTCATATATATATATATATATGTATATATATATATATATATATATATATATATATATATACATATATATATATATATATATATATATATATATATATATATATATATATATATATATATATATATATATATATATATATATTAGGTATATTTGTATAAACATTTGAAGAATCATTTGACAACATTTTTTTATAATTTTATTATTTATTATTTAAACTGTTAACAGTTAATATCTTAAATATATCGTAACATAAAATCTTTTGCTTCTTTTTCGTAACTACACATTCCGTAATGCTTTTTCCGTAAGGAACTATTTCGTAAGTATTCTTACGAAATGATTTGTTTCGCAAGTTTTCTTTCGCAATGCTTTATTACGGAATTTTATTTATTTATATTTTCGTATGGCGCGTTACGGTGTAGCGTTTTTAAATTACTGCGTTAAAATTTTACTGCGCGGAAGTTTTCAACCGTACAAACTTCATTTGCGGTAAAACAATTATACTGAGGCAGTAATATTTTAACGTTAAAATTTTACTTCACTCGTTATAATTTTACTGCTTTTTAGTTTACAATTTATATAGCTTATTTTGTCAAGATGTACAAAAATATTAACTTTAATGATGTCAGGAAATATATAAATGACAATGCTTTTCCTAAAGATGTGAATGAAAGAGGAAAAAAAGCAAATTTTAAACGGCAGTTTAAAAACTTTGTTATTGTTGACAATAAGTTGATGTATTGCAAAAAAGGTATTGGCGAGGTAAGGAAAACTTGTTTTTATAAAAGAAGTTTTTATTTAATTTAAAAGGTTTTACTTAAATAAAATAAAGTAATTAAACAATATTCTTTATTGTGCATTATTTTGCATTAACTCGACGTTTTTCAAAAATTCGAAAATTTATAGTTTTAAAACAACTCAAAATAATGTAAAAATTTCATACAAATAATTTTTTTTATTGTAGGTGATTGTGGTAATAGATCAGGAAGAATAATTAAACATTGTTAAAGAAGTCCATGAGGGTCTCGGTACTTCTGAGAAAGCTGTTGCATTAGCTAGCCACTTAGGAATTAATGCTGTGAAAAAGCAAATTTCTTCAAGATTTTTTTAGCATTCAATTGTGGAGGATATCACCAAATATGTAGCTCAATGTGAACGATGCCAAATAATCTCTAACAGAAACCTAAAAGTGTCTCCTGCTTTAAAACCTGTTAAAGTAGAACAACAAGTTATGAAACAAGTTGGTGTAGATTTAATTAAATTACCTGAATCAAATGGATTCAATTATGTAATTGCCCTTATAGATTATTTTTCTAAGTGGACTGAAGCTGAACATCTTATCGATAAGCAGCAGTATCAGTAGCAGCCTTTCTTTATAGAGTTATTTGCAGGCATGGTTGTTTTCAAATACAAATTAATGACCAAGGTCGTTAATTTGTAAATTCAGTATCCATTGCACTTCATGATATGACAGGCGTTCAGCACGTGTAACCACTGGTGACCATCCACAAGCCAATGGCCTTGTGGAGAAACAGAACCAGACAATTAAGAAAGCAATTGTTAAGGTCTTAAATGAAAATGTTAAAAGTTGGGCCTCAGTTTTAGATGGAATCCTTTTTGCTTTACGTGTTAAAGTGCACGACTCAATGGGGTATTCACCATTTTACCTTATGTATAAATAACAACCCTATCTTCCAATTGATGTAAAGTACACAAATGTACTCAATAAGGATAACTACAATCCTGTATATGATAAAGAAGTTTTACAAAAAGCTTTACAAATGAAAAGAGGACTTGAAGAAAAAGCCATGACCAATATTGCTTGTGCACAAAAGAAACAAAAATTGACTATGATAGAAAGCATACAACACCATCAAATTTTTTTGTGGGTCAAAAAGTACTATTGAAAAACCTAAAAAGAGAAAATAGAAAAGGTGGGAAAATGACTGTCTTGTGGCTTGGTCCATATGAAATACTTGATATTTTGTCAAATTCGACATGTTTATTAAGAAACATTAAAAGGAACAACACAATAAAGAAGCAGTACTCTCTACATCATGTTAAACCATTTGTTGAAGAGAAAAGTAATTCAAAATTGCATAGTTTAACTTCTGAATGCAATGATCAGGATAAAAGTCAACGTAATTCCAAATTAATGAAACATCCCACCAAAGAAGTTCTCCAAAAAATAGCTGAAGAACAAGGACTTAAAATATAATGCCAGATCTTTTTGATGGAGAAGAAAATGATGTACCTTAAAAAATACATGTTTGCAAAGGTGATGGCAATTGTTTTCCAGCATCCATGAAACTCGACCAACTAACAGCTCAAAGTATACTTTTAGAAAATAAAAACAATCATTATAACGTTGTTTCGTCACTAAAAGCTTTGTAAATGAAATGATGTTTAAACTGAATTAAAATGATGTTCGTATATCAGTTGTTTTACAATGTTGTTTGTTATAAAAAAATAAATAATTTGCTCAAGGTTGCATATTCTTTACAACTTAAAAAAAAGTAAATAAACTTTTTTGTAATAAAACTCTACAGAAGTGATTTTATGGATCGCTAGGCTATTTAATTTATTCTAAAGGTGAGTTTCCACTCATCTGTTTTCCTACGGGAAAGGGAAAGGGAACGGAAAAATAATCACGTTAGCATGCGCAGTTTTCTTTCGGACAAATAAAAACTCTTATTACGCATGCTCACGTGATTATTTTTTCCCTTCCTATCCCGTTCCCGTTGAAAAACGGATGAGTGGAAACTCGCCTTAAGATTAGATTTTGTCGCACAATAAAGGAAAATCGCTTTACTTGATGACAGTAAAATTATAACGAGCGCAGTAAAATTATAACGTTAAAATATTACTGTCTCAGTAATATTTTAACGTTATTATTTTACCGCAAAGGAAGTTTGAATGGTTGAAGACTTCCGCGCAGTAAAATTTTAACGCAGTAATTTAAAAACGCTACACCGGATCAACGTCATAAATTAAAAAGAAAGAATGATTTTATCGCGCTGTTTCACTAAAGGCTTTTATACTAAGTGGCTTTTCAGTTATCGCACGGAAAGTTAATTGCCAATACATCGCCAATATGAAGTGATACAGAAAATAACGTTTCTGATGTAGCCATTCAGTCTTGCAACAGACACCTTTAATATTTAACTGAAGAGTTGAAAATGAAAGATTACAACTATGTAAAATGCTGTTAAGCCAATTTGTGAATGACTGAAATGAGAGAAGTAAATAACTTATACAAGAGTACAAAACAAAAGTCAAGAAACACGCGCGGCCTCATCTACTACTTCAAATAGTGGAGGACCAAACGAGCTTCTCTTCAGGGACAAAAAGAAATTTTAATTAATTTGATTTTTTTTGCTGTGCGAATCTGATACATTCACACTGCAAAAAAAAATAATTTAACAGAAGTTAAATTGCTTAAACCACTTGACTATTTAAATAGGGGGGATCCTTAGATCAATTTTTTTAATTCTAATTTTTTATACAATTTAAATAAGATAGTAAATAATATAGTGTGAAAGGTTGACGTAGTTAGGGGTCGTCCGTAAAGTACGTACGCTCATAGGGGTGAAGGGGGAGGTCTTCAAAAAGTGTACGATAGCGTATGTGTGAGGGGGGAGGGAGGGAGGGAGGGTTCAATTTAAAAGAACGTACATCAATTTTATTATTTTACACAATTAACCAGCTAGTCAATAGAAAAGTTAAAATTCTGACTAAAGATCCTAGTTTGCCAACATAAAAAGATGTATTGTATAGCGAGCAGAAGGTATAGTTTCTCTCTATGCACAAATGCATTGGCGCCCGCAGGATTTTTTGATGTTCCAGATAAACCACTTCCACACATTGATCAAACTCCAAACTTAAGTATGTTTATACCTATGCCATTTGAAAAGGCCTTGCAAAAAATTGTTATGGCGGTAGTCTGGGAACAAAACAGCCCTCAAATGCTTGCATCCCCTTCCCTGCCCAAACGTGAGGGCACTAATGTAGTAAAATTTTCCGACCCTTTCCCCCCCCCCCCCCAAAAAAAAAAAAAAAGAGGGGCTGTACATTTTGCATCGACATAACTTTTGTAGTTTACAATATTTTTCAACAAAATTTAAATAATGTCGATAAATTTGAATTTAGTTTTAGATCGTTAAGTTAAAAATTTTACTACATAAGTGCCCTCACGTTTGACCCTGCTCAAACGTTTCAAGGCTATTTGTTGACAGGTCTTTGCCATCCCAAATTTTTACAAGGTCTTCTCATTTGGCATAGGTATAAACATATTTAAGTTTGGAGTTTGTACAATGTGTTAAAGTGTCCTATCTGGAACTTCAAAAACCCTGCAGGCACCCATGCCACCCCTTATATAAAAAAAAAGTTTTGCTAAAATAAAATAGCAAAAGGGCATAAAAATTTGCTGTTCCCCCTCAACACCCTACCCCCTCTAATTAAGGGGTATGGGTAGCTTACACTCGGCACTGGGTTTTAAGCTTTGTTTTCAATACTACTCTTCTCGCGCGACTCGCTCTTTACGGACTCACTAAAGAGGAGGGGGCCTGAAAAAATGTCTGCTTTAAGTATAGTTTATTTTTGTTTGATGCGTCTCATTAAAAAAAAAAGTAAAATAGAACTTGAATAGGATTCGAACTCCGGACTCCGCTGTCACTGCCCATATCATTACCCATTCGGCTAAGCAAACTCTTCGATATTGAAACATTTAATTTTATTTAAATTTATATTTGCATATGATGTTTATGAAATTTATATTTGATGATTTTTAAATTGCGATGCTTTGCCCCTAACAAAGGGCTTTGGGGTCGTATAAATACTTTATATGTTTTTCACCCTACGCCTATTTTTTTTTTTTTTTTTATTTTTTTTTATAAAAATTTATTAAATTAAAAAAGGTGGAGGAGATACCCTAGATACTTTTAAAGTATCTAGGGTATCTCCTCCACCTATTTTTTTCAATGGGGGGGGGGGGTATATCTGAAAAACGTACGTTCTTTTGGGTACTCCACCTTTTTTTTTCAATGGGGAGGGGACTTAAAAGTACGCATGGCAACAGGGGGAGGGGGTTGTTGAATTTCAGAATTTTTGACGTACGTACTTTATGGACGACCCCTTACGAAATGAATTTGTTCACATATTAAGCAAAAATAATCAAAAAAGACGGTAAAAAAGGATTTTTTAAACTTTTTTTACATGGGAAGACCCTATAATTTGTATATATTTTTGAAAAACACTTGGTACATATGATTTTTTTTTAGTCTAAATCTCAATTTAAAAGTTGGCGTAATAATTTTAAAATTTTGCTGTAATGGGATACCCTAAGCCGCATAGATAAAAAACAGTGTTTTGGAAAAGTTGTTACTCCTTAAACGAAATGATAGAGCAGCCAACCTTTATAGAAATTAAAGTTTATTTAAAATAAGAAAAAAAAACTTAATTCCACTAAAACTCGAACGAATGAAATGAAAATTGACATTGAAGAAGCAACGGAAAAAAATAACAATGTCATCAATTGATCCAAAAGAATAATTATTAGATTTTTTATGTTAATATAATTTAGTTATAATTTATACCTAATATATATAAGCTCAAAAACTAAATGTTCAAGATATAATTATTTTACAAAATGTATGACTGGTACTAACTATAATAAGTATTTTATAAATTTTCTTAATGGTTTTAAAATAACAAAACCAGGTATATGACCAATTATATTTTTTTCATATTTTAGTAAATCCTTGATTTCAAAATGATTTCATATTTTTATTTTTTTACTGTTATATATTGCATCTACTATTTGTTTTATAATTACTAATAAACTATTATTTTGTTCAACTAAAAAACATTTTGATACATTGGTCTCTAGGTGGAAAAATAAATACAAAGTTCTGTATCTGTACAAAATTCTGCATCTCTACATCTGTAGCTGGAAACTGAACATAATACTAAGGAAAACTTGTTATCATTGTTGGTCCAACACAATCTGCTGCTCAAATCTTCACTTCTAATAAAATGTCTGGTGGACCTAACCCATCAGAGCTACAGTCATACTTATTGTCAATTAGGCTATTGAAGTAACAGCATTTTTCAATTTTTGCTTTTGTAAGAAGTTCGAAGTTTTTAACTGCTACACTTTTAAACAATTTACCTCTTTTATAATTTTCTAAACAACCTAGGTCTAGTGAAGATATCCTATTTTTAATAATGTGCCAATATAATATTAAACTAGGTTTCTCTAAAAAGCCAATAAAAAAAAGTAATCACTAGCTGTAATTTTACATTTTTTGTACTTATGTCACTCTATTGTAATTTGTATTATGTTTATGTAATTATCACCATATAGTTTTGGATTCAGACAATTACTAAGGTCAATAAGAACACCATTTGGAATTTTTTTGCCTTTTAAGCTGTCATAAACGCTAAGTACAATTTCAATATCATTTGGAAAGATATTAGTAAAATTTTTTTAAATATTTACAAAAATGTTTTTTATTCCTGAAGTATTTGAATTAATGTCAACCTTTTCAATTTTAGCGTTATCTATGAAACTATATTTTGATCAAATGATGGGGTATTGCAATAAATGTGGTCTGATAAAGCAAATACAGTTTTTTGGGTGTATTAATAGTGTATATGTTGTCCAACAGATGAAATGCGTCCTCATTTTGATTTCATTAATATAGAATAAATATTTTTTCTTTTTTTAACAATATACACGTTGCACCAGATCAAAGAAGGTTGTTTTTTCTAAACAACATTAACAGCATCATTAACACCCAAATTCAACTTATGTGCAAAGCAAAGAGTTAAGAGTAAATACTGGAGGATTGACTCTAAAATTCTAAAGTTTCTTGTTGGGCAACCTTATTTTTCCTTTCATATTTCAGCCATTATCATATCTTTGACCGCGTAACTTTTCAATAAATAAAGCCATCTTGCCTAATTGCTTAAGAAAAGTTTCAGCCATACCATCACCAGTAGTCTCCTTTAGAGGCACAATACCTAAAAAATGCTCCTTTATATATGATGTTGCTGCAATGTCATTTTTTAGATTTGAAATCACGTGCACAAAGCAAATGATCTTCGTCATTTGTTTAACATGGCCAATATCAGATGTGTAATCTATATTTATTGAAAAGTATTTAGTATCACAAGCAGATGCTAGAGTTTAATTTTTGATTGCATTGGATAAAAAATGAATCAGTTCTTTGTTCAAGTAATGTACATGTGTTTTATTTTCTTTATTCTTTCGGCAATGCTCATATAAGTGGGTGGAAATTCCACAAATTTCAGAAAGTTTCCGTTATCAGGTAGTTCTCAGAGTTTCATGTATTTCTACGAAAATCAAGATTTTTTATTCCAAGAACAAGAAAACAAAAATTCAAGATTTGCTGCTAATACTGTTTTTTTTT